CACTTCTTACTCTTCTAAACCCGCAAGTGATACAAGCTTGACTTGCCTGACCTTTACCATAAGAAACCCCCAAGTTTCAGGAATTGTCTGGCAAATCTTCTCTCAACTGCTTACGAAACATTTACATTCTTGCTAAAATAAGGTAACCAATGATGTGCACAGTATTCTAGAAGTATATTCAATTCCCCTAGTAATAAATGATAACATCCTATTAGATTTTCTAATCATAGTCATTGAACTATACATTATGGAAACAGACCCTTCAGTTCAACTCATCCATGCTGACCAGTTATTCTAAATAAATCTAGTCCCATTTGGCCCATATCCCTCTAAACCCTTCCTACACATATACATATACCCATCCAGATGCCTTTTAAGTGTTGTAATTGTACCAGCCTCCTCCACTTTATCTGGCAGCTCATTCCATACACTCGCCACACTCTGCGTGAAAAAGTTGCCTCTTAGGTCCCAAATAAATCTTTCCCCGTTCACCTTAAACCTATGCCCTCTAGTTTTGGACTCCCCTTCCCTGGGGAAAGACCTTGGCTATTCATCCTATCTATGCCACTCATGATTTTATAAACTTCTATACGGTCACTCCTCAGCCTCCAACACTCTAGGGAAAATAGCCCCTACCTATTCAGCCTCTCCCTATAACACAAACCCTCCAACCTTGGCAACGTCCTTGTAAATCTTTTCTGAACCCTTTCAAGTTTCACAACATCCTTCCTATAGCTGGGAGACCAGAATTGCATGCAGTATTCCAAAAGTGGCCTAACCAATGTCCTGTACAGCCACAACATGACCTCCCAATTCCTATACTCATTGCACTGACCAATAAAGACAAGCATACCCAATGCCTCCTTAACTGTCCTATCTACCTGCGACTCTACTTTCAAGGAAGTATGAACCTGCACTCCAAGGTCTCTTTGTTCAGCAACACTCCCCAGGATCTTGCCATTAAGTATATAAGTCCTGCCCTGATTTGACTTTCCAAAATGCAGCCCCTCTCATTTATCCAAATTAAACTCCACCTGCCACTCCTCGGCTCACTGGCCCATCTAATCAAGATCCTGTTGTACTTTGAGGTAACCTTCTTCGCTATCCACACTGCACCACCAATTTTGGTGTCATCTGCAATTTTACTAACCATACCTCCAATATTCACATATAAAATATTTACATAAATAACAAAAAGCAATGGACCCAACACAGATCCTTGTGGTACGCTGCTGGTCACAGAGCTCCGGTCTGAAAAGCACCTTCTACCACCACCCTCTATCAACTTCCCTCAAGCCAGTTCTGTATCCAAATGGCTAGTTCTCCCTGTACTCCATGGTATCTAATGTTGCTAACCAGTCTACGATGAGGAACCTTGTCAAAAGCCTTGCTGAAGTCCATATAGATCATGTTCACTGCTCTGCCCTCGTCAGTCCTCTTCGTTACTTCTTCAAAAAATGCAATCAAGTTTGTGAGACATGATTTCCCGCGCACAAAGCCATGTTGACTGTCCCTAATCAGTCCTTGCCTTTCCAAATACTGTAAGTCCTTTCCCTTCCAACAACTTGCCTGCTACTGATGTCAGACTCGCTGGTTTATAGTTCCCTGTCTTTTCTCTGCCACCTTTCTTAAATAGTGGCACCACATTAGCCAGCCTCCAGTCTTCCGGCACATGACATGTGGCTTTCGATGATAAAAATATTTCAGCAAGGGGCCCAGCAATCACTTCCCTTGCTTCCAACAGAGTTCTAGGGTACACCTGATCAGGTCCCAGGGATTTATCCACCTTTGAGTTTTAAGCTGTCCAGTAGCACCACCTCTGTAATATGGGCATTTTTCAAGATGGTGCTGTTTATCTGAGGAGACAATGGCCTTGTGGTATTATCACTGAACCAGACAACATTCTGGAGACCTAGGTTCAAATCCTGCCACGGCAGATGGTGGAATTTGAATTCAGTTAAAAACAAATCAGGAATTAAGAATCTAATGATGACCATGAACTCATTGTCGATTGTCGGAAAAGCCCATTTGGTTCACTAAGGTCCTTTAGGGAAGGAAACTGCTACCCTTATCTGGTCTGGCCTACATGTGATTCCAGACCCACAGCAATGTGGTTGACTCTGAAATGTCCTCTGGGCAATAAATGCTGCCTTGCCAGTGACACCCTCATCCCATTAATGAATAAAGGGATTTCCCCAGGTCCTGTATCTTCCATATCCTTCTCCACAGTAAACACTGATGCAGAGTACTCATTTAGTATCTCCCCCATCTCCTGCAGTTGTACAAATAGGTAGCCTAGTTGATCTTTAAGGCCCTATTCTCTTCCTAGTTACCCTTTTGTCCTTAATGTCTTTGTAGAATCCCTTTGGATTTTCCTTAAACCTATTTGTGAAAGTTATTTCATGCCCCCTTTTTACCCTCCTGATTTCCCTCTTCAGTAAACTCCTACTGCCTTTATACTCTTCCAGGGATTCACTCGATTTCTGCTGTCTATACCTGACATATGCTTCCTCTTTTTTTCTTGACCAAAACCTCAAATTTCTCTAGTCATCCAGCATTCCCTGCACCTACCAGCCTTGCCCTTCACCCTAACAGGAACATACTGTCTCAAGAGAGATAGTAGGAACTGCAGATGCTGGAGAATCCGAGACAACAAGGTGCAGGGCTGGATGAACACAGCAGGCCAAGCAGCATCATAGGAGCAGAGAGGCTGACGTTTCGGGCCTAGACCCTTCATCAGAAAAGGGTCTCAAGACTCTTGTTATCTCAGTTTTGAATGCTTCCCACTTCCCAGTCGTCCCTTTACCTGAGAACATCCACCCCCAATCAACTTTTGAAAGTTCTTGCCTGAAGAAATTGGCCATTAAAATTGGCCTTCCTCCAATTTAGAACTTTTGCTTTTAGATCTGGTGTATCCTTTTCCATTGCTATTTTGAAACTAATAGAATTATGGTCACTGGCCCCAGAGTGCTCCCCCATGGACACCTCAATCATTTGCCCTGCCTTATTTCCCAAGAGTAGATCAAATTTTGCTCCTTCTCGAGTAGGTACATCCACAGACTGAATCAGAAACGTTTCTTATGCACACTTAACAAATTCCTCTCTATTCAAGCCTTTAACGCTATGGCAGTCCTAGTGTATGTTTGGAAAGTTAAAATCCTCTACCGTTATCATGCTTTCATTCTTACAGATAACTGAGATCTCCTTACAAATTTGCTTCTCAATTTCCTGCTGACTATTGGGGCGTCTGTAGTACAATCCCAGTATGGTGATCATCCCGAGCTTATTTCTCAGTTACACCCAACTAATTTCTCTGGATGTACTCCCAGGAATGTCCTACCTAATGTTATCCACCATCAAAAACGCCACTCCTCCTTCTGTCTTGCCCCCCTTTCCTATCCATCCCTGAGCCACGTTTCTGTAATTGCTTTGATATCCCAGTCCCGCATTACCAACTATATCCTGAGTTCATCTGCCTTACCTGTCCGGTCTCTGGCTTTGAAATAAATCCAATGTAATTTATCAGTCCTATCTCTTTCTCTGCTTTGTTCCTGCCTGCCCTGAGTGTTTGACTTGCTCCTTTTCCCGACTGCACCTTTTGATCTGTTTTCTCACTATCTCCCATTGTCCAATCCACCGCTCCCCCCCGCCCCCCTTACTAGGTTAAATCCTCCTGAGCAGCTGTAGCAAATTTCCCCGCTGGTATATTAGTCCCCTTGCAATTCAGGGGCAATCCGTCCTTCTTCTACAGGTCACCTCTACCCCAGAAGACATTCCAGTGATCCACAAATGTGAATCCTTTTCCCCTGCACCAGCTCCTCAGCCATGCATTCGTCTGCTGTGTCCTCCTATTCCTACTCTCACTAGCTCATGGCACTGGGAGTAATCCAGATATTACTACCCTTGAGGACCTACTTTTTAGCTTCCTGCCTAATTTCCTATATTCTCTACTCAGGATGAGAAAAGGACGTGGTTCTGTGTCGTTAGTTCCAATGTGTACAATGACCTCTTGCTGGTCCCTTTTTATTCTGCACCCTATCAGAGATATCCTTGATCCTGGCCCCAAGGAGGCAACACACCATTCTGATGTCTTGTTGGCTGCAGAAATGTCTGTCTGTGCCTCTGACTAGAGAGTCCCCTATACTAATCACTTGCTGTACCTGCATGCTAACCTTTCACAAATGATGCACCGGGATATCCGGTGTCTGTGCATTTCAGAGTGTTACAAACTTTCACCATTTAAATAATATGTTATTCTTTCTGTTTAAATGGACAATTGCAAGTTTTCTTACACTATATTCCATTTGTCACATCGTTGTCCACTCATTTAGCCTGTCAATTTTTTTTATAAACCCCCCCCCCGCTTTGAGCCAGCTTCATAATTTATTTTCTATCTTTGTGTCAGTTATTTAACTTTCTACTGTGATAAAATATACACATTCCCTCAAAAGTTGAATTGATCAGCCCCTAGTATAAGATCTGAATCCTCAGCCTTGATTTGGGCACCTAATCTAAATTGACATTTGTGCACTCCTGATGGCAGGCTGCAGTGTTGGAGTTGCCATCTGTTGGAGAGTGGTTAAACCAAATCCCTATCTTTTCACGTGAACATGAAAGATCCTATGTCGATTTTGTTTTGAAGAAGACCAAAAATTTCCTTGTGTTCTGGCCAACATTCAGCACTCGAGGAATACTGCTAAACTTAGGAACATGTTGATCTTGTTTTGATCTTGTTTCAGGTTGTGGCAGCTTTTTGTTTGCAGCCTGGCTGTTTGTTCACATGACAGCGATGAGACTCTGTATTGCAAGTAATTGACTATACAATGCTTTGAAATGCAAGTGTGATTTGAGTGATGAATGAATGAATTGCCACTTCTCTCACTGGCACGATCAGCCAAATGGCTCGCTTTTGTGTTGTCTCATTTCATGAATCTATTCATATGGTCAGTATTTGTCAAATATGCAAAATGTATTCTTCATAAATCTTTTCACTTAACCAGGTGAAGAGATCACCAGGAAGTGATGCCTATTGAAAGTGGAAGCAGTGCAGCTGCACGGCAAGTGAAATCGAAACGTAAACCTCACACTATCTCTATTCGAAGGACAAACAGCTCTGAGCAGGAACGTGTCTCATCACAGCGCGAAATGTTGGAAGCACAGGTACTTTTAATGTTTATTGGATTTGGGAACACGGGCATTGTGATGCGATCAATTGTACTGATTGACCAGTTTTAAATACAGTGACTTCTATTCTTAGAAATGCACTTTTAAAACAAAACTACTTTTAGTTTAGTTCTAAAAGGAAGAATGAATCCCTAACAATACACCTTTTGCCTGCACATTCTGGTAATATGCAGCAGATTCAACACCATTTGATGAACCATGTTAAGATGCGAGATTGAAATCCTTCACCCCAAACATGAAAGTAATTTATTTTCCTTTTTTACCTATCCTGAATATACTTTGTGTTCCTAATGTTTTCTATTTCTGCTGAAATAATTTTGTAATTTGCAATGGATTTAAAGAAAGCAGTCTGCAGAAACTCAATGGAGTGACCTTGCAGCTCATTTTTAGTGTAATACTTCCTTTGATATTTAAGATTAAAAAAGCAAATGCTGTGATCTTTGTTCATTAAACGATGAATCAGTTAGATACATTCTTTTTAAACTGCTGATATTTGAGGAAAAGGTCGATGTGTGCAATAATATCTATCTTATACCGATAAAGAACATATTTGCAGTAACTTAATTGAAAAATATATATATTATTTTAAAATGCAAGTAATTTATTATTTCTACATTGACAAAATATCATTATGCCACAAGCAATAATAATTTACGATGTGTGTAAAGGCACTGTATTAAAATTCAGTGAATGTAACAAAACATGTTGTGAATATGCATAAAAATATACATTCAATGTTAGATATTTGGGAGTATTTTAATTAAGACTCATTTTAAGTTAGCTTGAGATAATTTGTAACATTTTTGAAATGGGGGTTTAATCCATTTGATCTATTTCATCAGTTAATATGATTCATGTATGTGGTGTACTTGTGTAAAATCCTGATGAAGAGTCATCTAGACTTGAAACATTAGCTTGCCCAGTCTCCATGGAAGCTGTCTGACTTGCTGTGGTCTCCAGCACTTGTTGATTTCAGTACAGATTCCAGCATCTGCAGTAATTTGCTCCGACATCATGTAAAATCCTGTTGGGTGTAGATTAATTGTGAGCATTCCCAGTAAAGGCAACATTTTTGGTATGAAGATTTATAATTGCATAATAATCTTAGACAAATGATTGTAACTGATGACTTGGCTAGAATTTAGGTTACTGATTGATCGTTGAATATGATTGTGCCAGATTACCTGGATTTTGAATGTGTTATTCTGTTATTCTGTTAAAGTGTGCACATCTGCTTCAAGCCCAGTTCTAACCTGTCAATTTGAGATTTTCAGCAACACTTCTTTCCTGTTAACGATTTTCTACTTTCATTTCTTTTGCTTTTTGTTTTCTATTTCCTGTCTTTGCATGGAGAGCATTCACTGTGCGTGAACTTCAACCTTCCTGCATTTTGCTGATCGATGAGTTGTCTTTTGTGTAGGTTACAACTTAGAAAAATAACATTATTAAAAGTTATGAGTCACCTTGTATGTTATGCCTGTGCAGTAGAATTATCATTATTAACAGTGGAATGGAGATTGTAACTTTAACAGGAAAATTAAAGGGCACTTACTCAAGGTGACAGTGAGAATTTGTAAGTCAGATTAGGTGTTAAATCGTATGTTTTCGTGCATATAATGTTAATTTTTACAGCATAATGTGTATAAGTATCTTATTTGAAAAGTGATAAAGACCTGTATTTGATTTGAGCCAAATTTTCATTTTTTAAAAACCAGTTTCATGTATCATTGTCTATTAATGGAATTTTAACCTCTTCATTCCTTCCCAAGCTTTTATTTACTTTTTTTTGATCAGTATAAAAATATTGCCATTTGTCCTCTTGCTATTTGTAGGGAGCAATGATGTTTTCTGTCTGTGAGGGAGTTTGGTAGAGTTTAGTGTAAATGTACTGAAGTTTCTCTGTGTTCATCTTTTAATTTTCTTTTACTTCCAGCAAATGAGTGATGGGCGCTCAAGGAGATCACAATATGCAGTTGTTCTTTCTGACATCTAGTAGCTTAGTTTTTGAGGAGCATATGCATCTTTAGTTGTTGATTCTGTGATTGGGAAGAAATGAAGAGGATGAAAAGTAGTACTAAGTACAATGTTCAATGTTTTTGAATTGTTGGTTTTGGTGTTGCTTTTGATCTAATATCATTGGATAATTTAGTAAGTATGTATTGATTTATGTCACAAGTGGGTGAATATAGACCATTTTGCTTGCTATTTGAATACAATAGAAAAACATCAGATTACCACTAATCAAAATCTTGAGCTTCATTTGTTTCAGGGAATATTAAGCAATTAAGTTGTTTAGCAATACAGGCGGTTCTACTATAACGCGGTAGTTGCATTCCAGCTCAACATCGCTTCGGAGAAAATCATGCTATAGAAATAACGGGGCAAATGGGAAAAGCAGTGTTAGGGACAGACTACCAAAAACTATTACTCAAAATCACTCAAAATTCTTCCTCACCACTCTCCTACAAATATTGGCACCATGCCTGTCACTTGTGTGAGCCTTGACATTTATAATCAAATAAAATCTATTCACCTGCAACATAGCCTGCATCACAGCCGAGCCCATTGCTGATCTGACCTGACATTCCATCGGCACAGACTTCTGGATAGATTTTCAGGTAAGTGAAGCAGAGGAACCTGACCTTTCTTTCCTATGTAGTCCATTAGCATTGAAGTTAATTGTGTTATAAACTTGAGTGACATTGTATTCAAAGACAACTTTTGGTATAAATGATTTACATGAGCAAGTTCAAAAGTTCTTGCATATTAACTATGTAACAAAATCTAGGCAAAAATACTACACACACAGCTGCATGTTTTAACAGCACTCATTTTAAACTATACTTCATTTTTTTGCATTTAATGTGTTCAGCATAAACTCTTCAAACTAAGACTTCACGTATTTTCTTAACGAATGTTCTCTATGTCATGTTATTTTTGAGGTTTATGACATACAATCCAATTACATCTTTCAAATGAGCTCATTATGATTTACTCTAAATATTTACACCATCTGCAAGGAAAGAAATTTTCCTTTGTCAAAGCCTGTGATGTTGACGTGTACTCGATGGAATCGTGTTCTAGCCAACACAAATTTGCATTTTAGAAATAGGGTTCCCCTATTTGTCAGTTGTGTTATAGCCAATTCGTGTTGCCGGAAACACACATTATAGCAGAACCCCCTGTAATGAACTTATTTGCACTAGAAATTCCTCAGTGATATCTTGTGCATTTGCACTAAGTCAATGACAATATTATTTGATCCTTAAAATGGTCTGTTCTGCTGGTATTTCACAACTTGTAGCATCTCAGGTTGATGTGATCACACTATACATCCATCAGGTGTTTCATATTAAATTCCCTTTCAGCTGCCCTGAAGGTTTTCTAATGTACCCAGCTTAAAAACGTACATTGATAAGTATTTGACCTGGCCCCTACTGCAGCTCATCACTTCGTTTATGACATTTTTTTACCTGTCCACTTGCCATTCTAATGCATGCCTGGCCATCCTCTCTTATTTTACGCTCCCTAAACTTGTTGTCATCCAAAACTGCAGTAGCCAGGGCAAAACAGTTCCACAAAGAACGGATCAGACCTAAGTGTGAATGTCATGAATGGTAATTGACAAGATAAATAATGATTAGGAGGAGGAGGCTTCACAAAAATCCCCATTCTTGGTGTTGTGGGAGCCTGGCACATCAGAACAAAAGACATTTGCATCCATCTTCAGAAATGCCAAGTTGATAATCCATGTTGCCCTCCTCCCAAATTCCATACCATCAGTCTTCTGTCAGTTTGATTAACTCAATGTGATATCAAGAAGAGGCTGAAGGCCCTGACTGTTGTAAGGCTGTGGGCACTGAGATCATTCCCAACAATAGTACGAAAGACTTGTGCTCCTCAGCAAAACTATTCCAGTACAGCTACAATACTAGCATCTGCCCAGTATTGTGAAAAATTGCCCAGCTAAGTCCTGTTCACAAAAAGCAAGACAGTTCCACCAATTAGCAACATATCAGTCTACAATTGAAGATCAGCAAAGTGACAGAAGTGGTTTTTGCCAGGGCTCACAAGCGCCACTTGCTAAGGAATAATGTGTCAGATGCTTACATTGGGTTCTGCCAGTGTTACTTATCTCCTGTAAAAACCAAAAAAAAACTGCAGATGTTGTAAATCAGAAACAAAAACATAAATTGCTGGAAAAGCTCAGCAAGTCTGGCAGCATCTGTGGAGAGAAATCAGAGTTAATATTTCAGGTTAAGTGAATCTTTCTCAGAACTAGGAAGGGTTACTCAACCTGAAACATTAACTCTGATTTCTCCCCAAATGCTGCCAGACCTGCTGAGCTTTTCCAGCAATTTCTGTTTTTAGTACTTATTTCCTGACCTCATTAACCCTTGCTCCAAACATGGCAAAAGAGCTTGAATTCCAGAGGTGAAGTAAGAGTGACTGCCCCTGACATTGACACAGCATTTGACTGAAGATGACATCAGAAAACCCTAGCAAATCTGGGGTCAGTGGAAATTGAGGGAAAAATCTCCATTGGTTGGGAGTCATATCCAGCACAATGGTTGTAGTTATTGGAGGTGAATCATCTAAACTCCAGGGCATCTCTTCAGGAGTTCCTTAGGGTCATGTCTGAACCGTAACTGTCTTCAGCTGACTCGTCAATGACCTCTCCTTTGCCAGCAGTGTGGTATACATTGTCTATATGGACTTTAGCCACGCCTTCGACAAGATTCCACATGGTAGACTGGTTAGTAAGGTTAGATCACATAGGACCAGGGAGAACTAGCCAACTGGATGCAAAATTGGCTTAATAATAGAAGACAGAGGGTGGTGGCAGAGGGTTGTTTTTCAGATGGCAGGCCCATGACCAGTGGTGTTCCACGGGGATTGGTGCTGGGTCCACTGTTGTTTGTCATTTATATAAACGATTTGAACAAGAATATAGGAGGCATGATGAGTAAGTTTAC